GCAAAGATCAGGATCAGCAGTGGAGGGTTCGGCCGCAGCGGGGACAGCTCATCCTCATCCAGCTCGTCTGCAGGGGAAATGATGACACGCTTCGGCTTGCCGGAGTCGGTTGTGGTCGTGCTCTTTGCCTCCTTCTTGATTGTGGTCAGTCGCTTCTTGCGGCGTTGAACGTTGATGTTCGCATTCTTGCTCGCCGCGGCGATCTCATCAAGGCTCACTTCTTCTTCGGCACGGACCGGGGCGAGTCCAACCACGAAGCCAAACACCGCGGCCAGGAGGACAGCCTGCATGCTGGAAGTCAGGCTGCTTGGAGCATCCGTCTGTCCCATCTCTTGCTGGGTGGGGAATGGTGCATAGCCAGCATGTGAGGATCCCTCTGCTCCCCGCAGTCCCTTGGCCCCAGCGGAAGGGACGAATGCAGTGCCAGCTGCCCAAAGGCCAAGGCCCGCAAGGGCCGCGATGGCCACGCGACCGCTAGAAGAAGATCCACGTGCCATTTGGGAGGGAGGCTCGGCAACACTATAGACAATCGCACGCTGAGGAAAACTGCATGGGTTGATCATCACGAATCACAAATCATACGAAAACACATGCTGCAGAAAGCTGCAAGGATGCGCAGAAGTGCAAGCCACTGGTGCAGCCTCCGTCCGAGCAGGCTACACATCTCGGTCGTGGTCCTTCCAAGTACATGTTGCAAAGTTGCGCTTGCTGCTGACATTCACAGGTCGCGCTTTTGGCCAGCGCGAGCCACACCGCCATTTGGCCTGGTCGGATCTAAGCTTGATCGAAGTTCACGACTGTCAAGAGGAACTCAGACAATGCACCCAGTCGGGAGGTTTGCGAGGAACTGCTGGAGGATACTGCCTGTCCAGTCCTGCAACGGTGCTCCGGGCAGGAAACCAGGAAGTCGGAAGAAGCCCTCTAAGGTGCACTTGACACACAGAGAAACAAAGCATCCTGGAAGCTTTCTGGGCTGCCTCGTGGACCGACACGCTGCCTCCAAAACACAACTGCGCCAAGTATTGAACGCCTAGAAGAGGGTCTTGGGAGTGCTTGTCCAGTCTAGCCCTGGCTGACTACGACTGGCTGAGGCGCCGGCATCTCCACGGGGCGCGCTTAAGTTGACATCCAGAGACCAACATGAAGGCCGTGGCTCTGCGAAGGCCACTGAGGGCGTGAGTGATTTCTTCTCCCAGCCGGTTTGTCATGGTTGTGATTCGAAGTGTCGTTTGCCTTTGTTTCTAGAACAGCCATGATCCCAGCCGGTGCACAGGTGACCGCCGCAGCCGTGAGAGACTTTGAGACACCGTGGGCAGTCTTCTTTTTGCATGCATGCAGAGACAAGCCAACTTAATTACGCCAGCTGTAGGCTTCAAGGCCTTCTCCATCTGACATCACAGCATCCCTAACCTTGCGGCTTTGGTTGTCTTCCTGATGATTACACATATACAAAGCGCTGACTGCAATTAGGAAGCCTTGACTCACAGCTGCCGTACCCTGCATCCTCCTACCTAGTGCTGCTGTGAGCGTTCAGAAACGCACAACTTATGATAAACTCCAGGGAAGCGCCCAGGATGCCGCAGTAATTTGCCAGTGGGTGACTGTTGCATAAGATACGAGCCGCAGCTACACTTTCGGATAAGTTACACTTTGGCTCGGTCTGCTCAGGTGCTGTTGGCAACAGTTGCTCTTCCATGGTGTCTGGTGAAACAACCGAATGCATTGGCTTGTTCACTTTCAGGGCACAGACTACCGTGGAACGACTGCTAGCAGCTTTGCAGGAATAGCTGGGCTCATGTTCCTGGAACTCGTGCAAGCAAATGTGCACAATGTGAAGCAGAAATCAGACATGCTGGATGTCGACATCGGTCCTCAAAGTGAAGGCTGCGCCCGCTGGGACGAGGACCTCTGGCCAGCAAGAGAGGCGCACTGCGGCTTCACAGCCATGCCGTACATGCGCTGCTTCTGGTGTCGGTGAAAGGCTTTATACCTGCAGGCGCACCTCTCCACCTCGGGATAACTTCTGGTTGAAGCCCGTTTCAGGAAGTCGAAACTCGACCTTCGTCGAACTGCTGCAGGTGAGCGAATCGGGACAAAGCAGCCATACAAAGCTCCGAAATCCTGCACCATCCCCTGCGCTTGAAAACACCCCCCGCCCGTCGTGGCTTTGCCGGTCTTCGCCTGGCCGTCCTCGGCTTCTGTGACGAAGTACAGCATCTCCAGATCTGCCAACGCTCAGAGACAACAAGGATGTCATGCAAGCAGCGGGCTGGACGTGCCAAGAATTGACAGGGACTCTGCATGTCAAAGGCCTGTGTCATTCCGTTCCGTCATTTCCTTCAATGAACGGCACGAACATGCTCGAAAGGACTGCTAGTCACAGACTCACAGAAGCGTTTGCTACCAATCTGAGCAAGAAGCAGATCCGCCAGCTTCCAGTTGCACCATGGCTGCATCAAAGAATGGCTCATGGAAGAGAATCGCAGCTCGAGCGCCCTCTCCTGCTCGCGACAACATCTTGTGTCGTGTTTGCAAACACTGTACCCTCAGTCCTATGGAGCTGCCATCATCTTGGAGCTCAGCATCTGCTTCATGCGCCGCAACTGTGTATCGCCTCAACCACAAGGGCTGCAGCTGCCAGCGATGCTACTGGCACGAAAAGCAGTATGGACGACATTTCGGTCGTCGGGAAGCTGAGACACAAGCCCCGCTGCTGGATGTCCTTCGCATCATACTCAAACACTTCATGGCTTGCACACTTACGCCACAAGATTTGACGGCTGTTCGGTCGCCACCAGCTAGCCCAAGGCACCTGGTTGTCGGCCAGATCTCGGCGATGACGCCATCGACTCGTCGTCGGCCTGTCGACCAAACATGCCGACAAGTCGCAAGTCACTCAAATGAGCACAATGCATCGAGTGTGCGACCTGCTCTTGCAACCTACACGGCCTCTAAAGCGTGCGCCGCAGTGAGTCGTGACTTGCTGCTTCGGCCTGTCTCGCGCAGGCTGAGTAACAAGCTTCGCGAACTTAGAAGCACTGCGCTGCCCGTCGAACACTTGCTCCTGGAGTGATGGGGGCTGCAACACTCGGCCGCTTTCGAGGCGGCATTGCGACAACATCCCAAATTCAACAATGGTGCTGCCCCGCATGACGTTGGAAGCTTGTTGAAAGAACATGCCGGTAAAGATGCTGTAGCATGAATCGGCTGCATGCTCAAATCTGTTCTGCAGATTGCTCCTGACACGCACATACTCGCACATCACCTGGCCGGATTCTGTTGTTGATGTCGGAAAACTTGATGCTTGCCATCCGAACAATGTCCAGGTGGGGACCAAAATGTAAGCAAGGACCTTCCACTGTTTCTCTTTCTCGTATCATAGGCACAGTGGCGCAGTGTAGCAAACGAAACAACAGCTGACGATGCAATTGGTCGTCGTGAGGAACTGATCATGCCATCACAAGATGGGACATGACTTTCATGTTGTTCATGCGAGGCTCGGAAAAATCTTCACGAGAGTAGCATTCGGAAAAGAGCCACAAAGAAACATGGAACACGGCCGCCAGTGCCAACGGGCACGCAGCCAGTCCAAAGTCCAAAGGTTTGTGCAAGCAGCAGGTCATCTCATTTGACGACAGCTGTGCCACTTGCATGCAGTTTACACCTTCTTCTTCATTTCGTTACAGCCATGATGTTCGAACGACGAGCTGAAAGCGCAAATGAAACCACCAAAATGGAGAAGCTGAGCATTCAATTCAATTTCCCAGCAACGTAGAAATGGGCTGTTTTTACAACTTTCTTTTTTGGCGGGATTCGTCCTGTGTGGTGGCCAAAGCAAGTGATTCGAACTTCACGATATCAATGCAAGAGAGCATTTGCAAAACGCGACGGCAGGTCGAATCTTGAGCGAAACGTACATGTGGTAGGAAAGAGTTTTCTGAGCAACAATGCATAAGTTTGCACACATCTGACCTTGCTTAGAGGCGACGGAAAGACCATGAAGGTGTTTGCCTTATTGGGGTGCGGCAGGACTGTCTTCAATCGCAGGAGATCAGGGAGGAGATGAAAGATCCTTCTATGCTGAGAAGGCAGGCAGCAGCGGCAATCCGTAGAGGTGATGCTGTGTGCAACTTGCAATGAAACAAAACGCTCAGCATAGCTTCAGTAGGGTCTGCAACATACAAATGAGTGCTGAAGGCGATATTCTGACGACGACCGAAGCAGACGCGAGCGAACATTGCAAAATTCCGACATGTCCTCACGACGAGTGCTGCACTGTTGCGTCGGTGCGACACTCGTATCGCAATCCAAATCCAGCTTGCAACAAAATGCAACGAGCAAATTCCGCTGTGTGAGAGACCCTCAAACCCAAGATAAACAAACACATGCGGCGTGAAAACATGTCTTGAACCACCGCACACGTATCAGAGCGTGACACCACGAAGAGCACATGATGCGGCGGTAGCGTGTCAACAACTCTGCAGAGCTCAGCAAGCAGAGGCTCGCACGGACATAGCTTGGAAGTTTCCAACAAAGAAGGAAGACTGCAGAGCTTAAGAACCCCGATCAACGGTGTGTGCGCTGATGGTTATGGGCAGCCTACAGTCAATGCGAGCCTGAAGGGGCACCTCTTATATGCTTCTACACACACATTCGGAAGAGTCGCCTTGATGGCCGTAAGGTGCCCCGTCACTTAAAGGGTGGAGGCGCGTTGAAGTTGGGGGAAGACGAGTGACTGTTGCTTCAACACACGATGGACCTCCTGGAACACATGAAGTCGAGACACGTGCATGTTTCGGCGGACTTGGCACCCGTCTTGATCTTTACAGTCGGCGAGGAGGATGAAAACAACACAGCCCATGGTGCCGTACTCATCGATTGTTGCCATGACCGCTTTTTTTGGCGAGGAGATCCCTCAAGCCTCCGTCAAATCCTGGAGTGCTCCCGGGAACAGGCAACTTGTTGCCAGGCTGAGGTGTTACCGGTTCTAGTGTCGAAAATTTTTTGGGCAGATTTCATAACTTTGTCAAAGGGCAGGCATGTCGTCTGGTTCTGACAAGCTAAAGCGGCACTCGGCTCGGGCACTCTCCTGTCAAGGACACCTTTGTCATGCTGTGCCTGAGTGCCCATGTTGATCTGTCTTTCGAAGCGACACACTGGTGTGCCAGGGTTCCTTCCAAAGCAAACTTCGCTGATGATGCTTCGACGCTTCATTTCGATGCCCATGACTCGGACAGAAGTATATATGGGAGAAAGGGGCTATTGAAGCAAGGAGCAAAATGAGTCATAAAACGACCCAAAAGCGGCCTCTTCGAGCCAGAGAGACTTCGCGGTCACTACGTGGTCACTACGCGGTCACTACGCGGTCACTACGCGGTCACTACGCGGTCACTACGGTCACTACGCGGTCACTACGCGGTCACTACGCGGTCACTACGGTCACTACGCGGTCACCACGCGGACA